CCAATATTGGGCTGTTATAAAATACAAAAATGGGACAATACTGGACCAATTGTCAATATCGAGTATCGGCTATAAAGGTTGGGCCATTGTTGGCCTAGTAGTATTACTGGAAGTCTGTCGGCAATTCCTACATGGGAATGAATACAATTTCTATAAATCAATAATACAATTTATGCGCAAATCAAATAAATATTGATAAATTTTTCGAGTAATTATTTGAGTAACTATTCATTTCGATAACGAGAAAAATAAAAAAACTGCGGTCGAGTTACGCGAGTATTGCGCTCTGCTCGCAAATATTATCGCGATCGTTTTAGGATAACGTTGTTCCCGTTGGGCTCGCGCGCTCGTTACTCACCTCGCCGCTATCTTTACCGGTAATTCCACCCGACCGGCCGCAATTGTTTCATAAATTCTATAGACGAGGGTGTTATGTAAGTGTTCGTTCGCACGTACCGTACCCGCGGTAATTGTTATTTATATCAATGCCTATGGGATTTTCGCAGTCGGTGAAAGGTTACGCGCGCAACGTCGCGCAGTTTTGAGCGAATCACTGCGGTCCGACCGTCCATTAAACACAAACCAAATGGACAATTTCCTATTCGCGTCCGAGCAAATTATTACGTTCTCGCGCGCGAGAACGAGATTCGTTCGAGAGAGAGCGGATGTTCGCGTGTACAAGCTTTCATTTTAAAATCGCGCGCATCGAATCGGCACGCGTTCGGCTGCGTGTTAAAAAAACGTCTATTTGCGCTTCTCCCTCCCCCCTAAAAAAAACGTCGCGTTTTATCTCGCGCGCGAATATCGAACAATCGTCATTTCTCCCGCGGTCGACATCGCGCCGCTCGGTGTTAATCCCCGCGTCGATAATAGGTGACACACGCAGTAAGCGCGGTCGGGACCGCATCACCTCTCCCCTCGATAACAAATTAATTATGCTTTCAGACTAGAAACATGTATGTATCGGTCGATATACCGATTCGTGATCGAGAGAGCAATTACCGCCGAAATTCAGATCGAGTTGCCGAGTATGTAACTCGTATGTAATAACCGGTGATACAACGCGTAGGTAAGGGAGGACAATCAACGTAATTCTAACACACCGATTCGGGAGGGAGGGGGTGCGTGTCAACCTCCCGTGTGTGTGTGTGTGTATGTGTGCGGACGCGTATGTTTAGTTTCGTGCGTTCCTCGCCGAGGACACGATTGATTACTGACGATCAGATTATGGCAATTAATAGCTCGAGTGCCACGAATCCCTTCGCTTGTAAATTAGTTCCGTTTCCGGCGCGCAGGAACTCCCGGAATTCAACTTATCACCGCAAATACGCGGACGCCCGTTATCGGTCATCTATCACGTAATCGGTATATTCCGTATACACCGAACGAGTGACTTTCTTGACACGGCGCATGAACACGTTAACGTCCGAGAGCGAGAGCGTTCGCTGTAAATCCTCCTTGCGATATAGTAACGAGACGAACGTGTACAATAAGACGAGAAATCCCTCTCACGACTGTCACAGAATCGCAAACTTTAAGAAGACCGTTAAGAGCCAACGTGGTTGTCGATGCGAGAAATTTTAATGCTCTCTGGAAACACCGAAGAGAGCTTGAATCGAGATCGAAATGTGTTTGCTCTCGAAAAGTAAATTGTTAATAAAAATTTTAAAAACTTAAAACGAGGGATTTCGGGCATTACATCTTGGCTCTTATCGATCCTTTCAAAGCTCGCGCAAATTTAGCAAGAATAAAAAAATCTACGGATATATATATATGTATAAACTATGTTGAATATCAAAAGAGAGCGGATGGTTGTGAAATATTTGACTTCTAATTGTGTTCGACGCGGCGTGTTTTTTTTCTAACACACAGAGAGAGAGAGCGCGCGATATTTGATAAATTTCATAATTTCGACAATTTCGACACGGATAAACTACCGAAACGCTCGGGATAAGCGTTTTTAATTTTACATATCGAATCCATCACTATCAGTATCCGCCTATTCTTCGTGTCAACAAAACAATCGTATACATTCGCATATCGTTTCCCGTAGAACCAACGGGATCCAATCGATATGAAACACATTGGACTATTTCACAACCGAGCACTCTTGTTCCACATATCTGGCGTGCATATCCCTCGGGGGCGCGCAGAAACCTCGTCTATATAGAGTATAAACGCTATTCATGCGGTAGGATAATGGGTTAAGTGGGGTCTACTCACGACGTCGATGAGCTGGGAGAGGCGTAGTCCCATTTTGACAGTGAGGCGATCGCTGTTGTTGCCAACAGGGCGGATGAGGCGGTTGTAGTTCGACAGCAGGTCATCGTAGAGACGCTTCGCTTCCGGATTGGCCGAGGCGCCCGGAAACGCGGCAACGAGACAGGATATGGCTGCCGCCATCGCCAACAATCCGCCCAACCTGGACCACCATCGCCACCAGCCTTTCCCACCGTCGTTCGTCCAAGCATCCCTAAGCATCGTACGCCTTGTCCACCCCTTCAACAATAAATTACGCGTCCCTTTGTAATGCATGTCTCGTGCTGTTGAACGTGTGCAGGGTTCGTTGATCTCTCTCTCTCTCTCTCTCACACACACGCGCGCGCGCGCGCACAAGAATCCATCTTGCGCGTCAATTATCCTGCGGTTGTTTCACGTTACGACATTAAAGGACCCTTGTGATAAAACATAATGACTTTGGGCAGCTCGTTGTGCGCACAAAGTACAAATAAAGTCTATGCTAATTAGAAAATTTAGTTCTAATATATGTTCTCTTCTCTCGCACGTCGCGCTCGTACGAGAGACAATGTCGCTTTGTTGTGTTAACTTAAGTATTTTTTCATCAATTAATTTGCGATATAATAATATCGATAAAAAAGTGTTATATAAAAGACAGTAATCATATAAAAGGCGAACGCACACGTACGTACATATACACTTTTGCGCATTTCACATATCGATTCGCGAATTGGAAATATAATTTAGCTTCGTTTTAAACGTCAAGTAAATACGTCACGTTGCTGAAATTAAATATTTATGGATAGAAAAAGAAAGACTTGCACGCGAAAGTGCCCGAAAGGGGCAGCAAAAATTCGATGAGAAAAATTGAGATGATTTATAAGCGCGGATGGGAAATTTCCACGGCAAAAACTTTCGCTGCGATAATTTAAGAAGAAATGGCTGGTATAAAATCCCGAGGGAGAACAAACTCGGAAGAGAGCAATTTTATAAAAGGGGTAATAAATTTCGCTTTGAATACGCGCGAGTTTCACAGTTCGACGGTGGTATCGCGAGGCCTAACACAATCATCGTTGAAGAAATCTCGGAAAATGAGAGATAAATCATTCGAAAAAAGAAAAAAAACATAATTGCAATTCACTTCGTATAGAGAAAGAATTTATTAAATTTATAATCGGAAAAAAAACACAGCGCGCGTCTGGGTTAATTAAGGTTAATTAAGGTTGCTAACCTTAATGATTTGTGTCTCACACGGCTTAGCGGGACGGTGCAAAATGTATATCTTCACAATTCGGCGCTGAACGCACGACTGTTCGCTTTCGACAACTCTGCGCGTCGGAATAACAATAATAAAAAACAGCCCGTATGTGTAGTAGCATTACGTTACCACACTTGTTCTACGTCTCACCCAAAATCCATTTATTTACAAAATTTACCTACTCGTCCATTTTTGTTTTTGTTTTTAATTTTAGAAAACCCAAGCTCGCAGTCCTCACAAGACAATAAATATTACAATAAACTTTTCTCACATCGTTGTTATACATTCTCGAATAGCGAAATATTTGAAACACAAATTTTCTTACACATTTAATTAATTTTATCTAATTTTGCGAGTTACCAGTTGCGTCGAATTTAATTCGATCAATCTAAATGTCGATATAAACCTCATAACCGAACACGCCCCCGAAATTGTTCGTCGAAACTGTCGAACGCATTAAATCCGAAACGCCGATTAATTGCGATAAATCGCGCGCGATTGTTCTGCCCTGGAAAGGTCGGGTATATAGTACGAATAAAAGCGAACTTTTCACTTGAGCACGCCGCGCCCCAGAGAAGGGAAACTTGTTGCCTTGACGTATTTTACGCGCCGTTCGCGTTTCAAGTGTTAACGAAAAGCGAGCAATCGTAAGGCGCGCGGCGGCCGCGCAATATCGAGTCACTTAGGACGTCTGTCGATTCTTCGTAATATACTTTGACGTAAAAACTTTTTCGAAACGACGCGAGTGTGTCCCTGTCCATCGTAAGATGTAGCTTCTCGCTGAGGTCTCGCAGAGACGAAGTCATTTACTACCCGTAGCGAGGAGCGTAATCGCCCATAAAGGGGAACTTGTGAACGGCATTGTTGTGTCACAAGAAAGATGGAGGATGAGAGGTAGGGAGACGAGCGAGAACCTCTCGAGGAAGTTTTATCGCTTCTTTGCTGACCTACCTCGCCTACCTCGCTATTATCAGCATAACCGTATGCCTCGAAAAGACTACTTCGTCGTATTAGGGCACCTTCTCTCGCGCTCTGATGCTCCTCTTCTCGAATTAAGCCGACACACAAAGGGAGTTCAGAAACACGTTCCGAAACTGTATTCTATCGAAACTTTCCAAGGAAGTAGACAAGCAACGCACACGTGTGTTGCCGATTTTTATGTTCTTCTTTCCAGTAAGAACATAAAAATGCAAAGAGCGTGTCTTTCTAAGACTTTCGAAATAACGTTGTGCGCACTTCTTTCAAATTTTTTTATATTATTTATAAATAATACACGCGTCTCAAAAACTCTCTTTAAAAATAATGTCTATATTTGTTAATATAATAACAATAATTTTCTCAGTATTATATATATATATATATATTATATATATATATATTTTTTTTTTTGCAAACATGCAGCACCAAACAACGTTTGTTCTCGCGTTTTATCTTTTATCACGTGTCTTATATCGACGGAAAGATATAGAGAGATACAGTTTCGATTAATCTGAAGCTCAGATAATTCTCAAGTGACCGTTTGGGTGCGTGCCACTTGACACCGAGACTCGTCGTCGTTAACATTTGACCGAAGATCCCAGAGCACCGGGCTCGATTATGTATATACGGTCGGGGCATTATATACGGCCTCGATCGGCGATAGCGCGGTTTACCGTAACGGATAGCCGGTTTCGTTACACGATAAAAGGACAGGTCGATCGAACACAGCTTGTTCGACAGTAGGTAGGACGCGGTCTGAGAAAGCTGATATAATGGAACCAATAATGAGCCGAGACCGCCACATCCATCAATCCGGATCAAGCAGCCTTAACCATCCTTTCTCTCACGCGTTCAGCGACGGAAAATAATTACGCGATCTCGGATCTGTGTACAGTATGACGTTCAGAATGATTGAACGCGCGCTGCTTCGGTAATAAACAATCCGCTCGCTTCTTCTTTAGCTTAATCCGAAGAGAATAAAAATGATTGAGAAACGTCGATAAAATCTTTTGACGAGAGATGAAATAAATATGTATAAAAACAAAAAAAGAAAAAAAATATATAACAGTAAATATGTATAAATATAACAATAAATTTGTATACCTCTTGTCGCATGTGAGTAAACAAATTAAGTGTGTCTGGATTGTGTAAATAAATAAAATTACGTTTGCGAGATCTCCGCTTTGAAAAAAAAAAAAAAACACATCGCTTTGGTCAACAGGTTGACAAAAAGAAGTTGAGATAAAGTCGAGTTTCGAACGGACTTGCGCAAAGCAAAATTTCAGCTGTACAACGATATAACGCTAAGTGCGCCAGTTTGTACACAATCGAAAACGAATGGCACACCGTTATCCTTTCGAAGGGTACAAATCGGCTCGAGGAACGGGAAGATCGAGCAAACGTGTCGAAGAGTTTTTGTGTTGATCCGTTGAACGTCTTCTTCGTTTAGAAACGCCATTTTTCCCCGACAACGTGCTTGCATCTCGAACTGCAACTCCGACTTTTACATGCGAGCGAGTTGTAACGATCAGCGAACTACGGAGCGATTCGTACAAGTTTGTCGAATATGGAAAATGATGTCTGCGCAGTGATTAACGACAGACGATACAAACGAGTAACACACGCGCACACACACCCACACATTAATATTGAGAAAAATATATTACGTTCACTATACGAAACGTTAAACTATCTGGCAGCGTGACGTATTTGTCAGCCGCGTGCGTCGGCGAAATAATTTATCATGCTTCACGAAATTGGCATCGCGGCATTCCTTTATCGGCATTCGAAAGCTTTCCGAAATCGTTCTGGCAGATAATATTTTTTTTTTTTTTTATTAGAATTTATCGGAGCGATCGCTCTTAAATAAAATATTACAATATTTTACTTAATATAAAAAAACAAAGAGAGAGAGAGAGAAGAGAGACTTTATAATGTACAAATGTTAAAACAAAACGTTCGGAAATAATGAATAAAAATAAAAAAAAAGAAGAATAAACGAACATTGATATTTTACATTCAAAGCGAATTGAGTAACATTTATAATTATTCGGTAAATGTATTTAATGTTTTCCCCGAGTGTGTTGCATGGTTGCCACGCAAACAAGAAGAACGCAACGCAAGCGCGCGGCTTGCTCGAAACGTATCGCTTTGTCATTTAAAGCTGCCACGCAGCTCGCGCAACTGCAACGAGGCTAATCGAATCTGGTACCGACTGCACCTACTAACTAGACTATTATGCACCCGGTGCGGAATTGTATCAGCTGGACCGGCTGTCTATTTCCTTTCCCATTGGGTGAATCAACGGGAACGAGAGGCAGATGATTGGACAGAGACCCGGCGCGATATGAAGAGAGAATGAGAGAGTGTGTGTGAGTGAATGAGAGAGAGAGAGAGAACGGCATTTTGTCGAGCCGCAGAGAAAATCGCGGAGTTTCAATATCCAGAGATAGTATTGAATTTCCATACGCTCATATACAGGGTGTCCCGCAATGGTCTTGATTTTAACGTCAACTGATCTGAAGTTGATTTTACTTTAGCGAAACTTGAGTTTAAATATCGAATACGATAAATTCGCTCGATCTTGACTCACTTTCAGATTTAATTTTCTAGAAAAAAAAAAAGCAAAAAATTGTAAATTAAATCAATGTGACGTAACTTCGAACTTGACGATATTCCCGATATTGCGAACCGATATGAAAGAACTTCTGCTAAATTGAACAGAAATGCAAGAAATCGAAAAACGACAGAAATTCGTCGCATCGTCCGCGTTATCGACTTTTCGAAAAACACCCCCAAGCGCGATCTCCTTAAAGGAATATTTTCATTTCCGTCCTCTCTCTCTCTCTCTTTCTTTTTCTCTCTTCGGCGTAACTTGACTTTTATGTTCTTCAACGAGAGAAACATGATTGAAATCTCTGTGTTACACGAAGTTATGCCTCTCGGTTTTATTACTGCGGGTCGAAACGCGAAACTTGCACACTTCGCGCGCGCAAGGAAAAAAAAAATTGCGCGAGAGAAAAAA